TTAACAGTCTTCAAACAATAAATTATTTTTTATTAAACAGCTTATAACAGCTGATAATTTATATATTCTACTATAAAATAATATATATATATACTAAGAAATCCATTCATGGACCTACCCTATCTTGGCTCTTCAATCTTATTTAAAACAATACAAATTCTCAAATATAACTACATCTTAATTTACCAAATATTAATATCTTTACTAATTCCTTTAACATAATCACTTTTTATCACTATTATTATTAAATAAATAGTCTCTTGTTTTTAATAACTCACAAATTTTTTTTATAAAAAATTCATTTAACTTTTTCTTCTTTTATAATATTTTTTCTAATTTAATATTCCTAACTTCTACTAACTTATTTACACTAATATTTTAAATCTTTATTAATATTTCTCATATTAAATCATTAAAAAAGAATAACAACTATTTATTCTATATTGATAATTATAAAATTCATGTACTTATTAATATTTAACAACAAGTAATTTTAATCTCTATATTATCTTAAATACCAACTATTTATATTCTTAACACAAAAATTCAAATAATTCAAAAAAATATAGCTTCTTTTCATTATCTAAACTAACTTACTAATCTATTTCTATTAACTAAAAATCTTCTAAATAATACTTATTTCTATACAGATATCTTAATTATTAATTCACAAACATCACATTCAAAAATTAGTATTAGATGGATCTCTGAACATAATATTCAAATCAAATTAAACTGTATAATTTCTTTATATTTTGACTCTACTCAGGCAGAACTTGAAGCAATTGTTTATCTTCTACTTATTCTACTAATAAACTTATAAAGCAATATATATCTCAACAATCTATCAGTTTTAAAAAACATTCAATTATTTTCTTCTTTATACAAATTCTTATATATTAAATTATCTAATATTTTATTTAAATAAAATTTCTCAAAATATTCTTTTATAAAGTTAAATCCTATTCTATTAATTCTTTTCATAATCAAGCTAATCTCTTAGTTAAACAAGATATCTCGAAACACTTTATTAAATCTAACTTTATAATATTACTTCCCAATTATTTTAAATAATATAACTATATAATATCTACTAAAATCCAATTATTTTATAAAATACAATTACTATACAATCACTTCTTTCTTGATTATAACTTAAATCCTTTCAAAACCCATTCTCTATTAAATGATCAACAAATGTTGATATTATTACTTCTTTAAATAATGATCAAAAATTTTATATATTGTGACAGGTTTAATAGATGAGTTCAGAGATAGGGCAAATGTGATGAATTGTCACTAGAAAAATGGTTATGCCGCATAACATTTCTCAAAGGTAATAGAGGCAGTTTTATGATTTGGCACAAGGTCAAGGTGATCATAGAGGAGTGTTACAAGATAAGTATTACGAATTTAAAAGAATGTAGGTTTATTTTACAAGTTTAAAAAGAGCTTTATTAACTTTTATTAAGATTTTTGTAAGGGAATACAATTATATTGTTAAGGGCTAATATGTACTTTTTGTAGTGAATTATTGTATGATTCTGAACTGTATTGAGATGCCTTTCAGAAGAAGGAAATTCCACTCTTTTTATAATAAATTTAACAAGAGAAGAGCCTGCACAAGACTATGACTCTCTTCATTATTACTAATACTTTCCAATTTTATTTGTTATAACCTTTAACCCCTTCCACACAGCCTTTCATTACTTTAACATTTCTCATGGCTTCAATTGAGAAATGTTTCAGTTACATGATCCTGGGGCCAGAACTTATTGTATTGTCTTCAATTGCACCCCCTTGGCATCGCCTCATACCTAACCCAAGTAAGACAGATGAAGTCAACATCCATTCCCAGTGCAACAGGTTGGTCCAGGTCAACCTTGCTTCAATTAGGGAGTAGTTGGGTTCTGCATAAAGGCTTATATACTTTTATATGACATCTTTTGGGGCCAGGCACACATGTTTCAGATGGATCATTATGAGCAACTCTAATTAGGTAAATATGCCACAATGATGTCTATTTCGCAGGCTTCATGAGGTGTTGGTTTTATCTCTGACAATATTCTCTTTTAAAATTATTAATAACAACCTACCTACTATATAAAATCTTAATTTATAATATTCACTCTTATATACTATTCCAAATTACATCTATTGTTAAACTCTTAAAGATATATCATATCTCTTTGCATGTTCCAAACAAAAAATATAATCTTTAACAAATTCTTTAAACTTTAATTTCAAATACTACTCAACAATTAAATATCTCTTCTAAACTTTCAGACAAAATCCATACTATTTTGTCACAACAAACAAATGCTCCACTACACTCTTACTTTCTCAATCTTATCAAAAATCCCTTCTCTATATCTTAATATGATAATGTTAATATATTACTTTATAAAACAATAATATCCTTCTTTATAATCCTATCAATTATTTTCTTAAATTGATTTCATTAATATATATAACTGCTACATAACATTTTTCAACAACAAATATGAAAAAGCTCATAACATAATTAAAAAATCTAAATATTCAAAAATATATTAACTTTATCTTCTCAATTTAATTCTAATACTATTAATATACCTACCATAAATCCAACTATTTCTATTAAAAACTGGTTAATTCTAGGCTATACATTTATTAACTGTATTTGCTAAATGCCAAGACTATCATTTTAGGTTTTTTCTAACCTTTTTATGCTTAAAATTAATTTAAAATAATTAATAATAGTGTTATATAGAAATGGAGATGTAATGTCAAATTGTATATCTTAAATAAATAGCTCAAATATAGTTTAGAAATCTTTAATATAATTACTTCTATTATCTAATAAAATTTCTACTTTAACATAACAAAAAAAAATTTTACAAGCCCAAAACATCAAAAAATTTTGAATTTTTCTTGCAAATCAAACTTGTTTTTGAGTTATAATAAATAGATCTATATTTTGTTAACTAGAGAATATTAAGGTAATATTATGCTTATTTAAGCAGTGTGTTTTAAAAATACAAATAAACTCATCTTTATAGTTTTTAATTATAATTTATATTAAGATTTAAAGGATCTATAGTTACTATAAAGACTTGTATGCAAAATTTTTTGAGATTTAGATAATTTTGTACAAAAATAATAATCTAAATATAGTTAGAATGACGTGTAAATTATAGAACTGACAATTTTTTGTAACATGACTAACCTACCTACTATATTTACTCCGAATTCTAGTAATTAAAACTCTATACTGTAAAACCGCGAAATAACGTGCAGGAGTAAAGTTATGAATTTTTGCCTAAATTAAGGCCAAAATTCATAACTTTACTCCTGCACGTAGGGTTGTTAAATTACAGTAATTTTACGTAATTTTTGTAATTGTAAGTTTGAACACATGATATTTAGTTTCTGAGATCAAATTTTCAGCGATTTAGGTTTTACATTTCGAATCGTACATTCAAATCAATCGATGCAATAATGCTGGCCAAAATTTTGTAAACCTAGTACTTTATGTATAACGTGTGAAAGTTAACATGAAAATTGATTCTCTGTAACTTACGTAAAATTACATGTAATGTAAAATTGTAATTTATGTAATACAACGTTATTTTGCGGTTTTATGGTATAATAAATTTTAATTTAACACATAATATATGAGTATGAGTTAGTAGAAATTCATTATATTTTTTCTAAGTAAATTTTTTAAAACTTTAAACAAAGATAACTCAACAATAACTTTATCAAAATTAATGAAATTTTTAAAAACAATTCTAACACCATATAAAATTAAAAGTTATTAAATTTAATTAAGTTTTTGCTAAGTTATTTTTGTTTAAATATTCAAAAAATTTCCATTGAAAATAATGTGCATTTCTACTAGCTCATCCCATATGCACAAGTCATGTTTTTACTTAAGGTAAATATAATATTTAGTACTTTTCTATCATTAATGGTCTAAATTGTATTATAGATGGTCTATTATAAGTCAACACTCAAAAATTAAAATTAGAGTAAACATCGGAAAATAATTGTCAGTAATAATCATGTTAATGAATACTTACATAGGAACAGTACTTAAATTTTCAATAATAAAATATTAAGAGAAAAAATATTAATAGTTTAACAATAAAATTAAATATTTGAATAAAGGGCCTTAAGCTTATTTAACATACATAATTATACATCTATACATAGATAAACGTTTTTAAAATATATTTTCAGGTTTTAAATTTTAAGGCTGAATTTATTTCTTTAATAATATTCGAATACAAACAAAAGCTATCACTATCGCTTGGTTTTTTGCTTTGTACATTTCTTTATATGAGTGCCGTCAAGGAAAAAACTGTCATTGGGCATTTAATTTTATTTTGTATCGGACAAATCTATTTGATTTATTAGTGACTATGTCCGGTACAAATATAATTGAAATCTCGATGGCATGTTTTCCCTTGACGACACACATATAAGCCACATGCAAAATATTTTTATTCGTCAGTATGGCTCGCCTTTCCAAAGTCCTGATGGATTTGAGAGTTCTGGCCTTCACCCATGGTTTCGCTTTTTGCTGGGGTTTTACCTTTCATCGGGAATTTCATTATTTCGCTAGAGTTTCGTATTTCGCCAGGAGGTTTCGTCTTTCGCCACTTGCGCAAAATGATTTCGCCTATTAACTCTAGAAATAACTCAACCTTCCATTGGATACCATGTGGAACTCCAGGTAGTGCCAGAGAGAATATGTATGTACGCATGCATAAGAAACCAAGCCTTACAGTTTCCTTTCTTTAAAAAAAAACATGGATTAATATATATTACGTAAATGAGAATTTTTTGACTGCGCCTGTGAGCTGTGGATGAAAAATTAATAAATTTGAAAGATGATCAAGTGGAATGAAAATAATAATTAAAGGTGGAAAAACAATACCTAAATAATTCTGGGCAACATGATACCAAAGATGCCGAATTTAATGTAGAAAATAAACTAGTCGCTTAAATTCCGAATGAAAGAGTCAGAAAAACGTGCTAACGACAAAGCTTCGTCTCCTTGTATACCACATCGAATTTAGACATAAAAAGCAAATATCGGTTAAAGTTCTGAATGAACTGAAGCACATAGAAAAGAAGAATCAAAGGCTCAGATACTTACATCGCTTTGAATAAATTCTCACGTATTCGACCCCAGAGGAACCTGAAAAAAGAATGAATTTGAACCAGTTAGCATAATAAAAATAAATAAGATTAATAAAAATAGTAAAAACACGGATGAAAAACCAATCGAACCATCTGATAGCTATTTCCTATCAAAGTTCCGAACAAGACAACGAATTCATTGACAGCTTAAATGAAAGATTGTAGGACGCTTAATTGAACCTAAGAAATCGGATGAGAATTTCGGTGGGTCATTCTGGCAAGCAAAACTGGTGATACAAGACGAATAAACGTTAGAATGAGATGCTAAAACCAACACATAAAAAATCATTGATTCTGAGATTCGAGAAAATTAAGTTGCATAAATAGCAGGACTCAAGTAATAATGAATAACGTGAGTTCGGGAAGAAACTTTGATGAACCCTGACATGCAAATTGCCATCGAGTTTGAGTAAAGCTTTGGAAAGCGAAAAGAACTGAGAAAGATTGTGTGACTCACCTTTATACAACAAAGTTCCAAATCACAAGACCTTTAATACATGACAATTAAATAGCCGTTAATCTAGGATAAACGCCGGAATGTCATGGACAAAATAAGCTGTAACCATGATCGAAGGTGTCACAATCGATGATCGTTCCTAATTACTTGATTAGATGCAGATGAGTGAAACTCTAATTGAAACTGTTATAAGAACATTAATAAAATGTAGTAATATATAAAAACATAAAAAAATTCTTATCTCAATGGTGTGCAAGAGGGTCAAGAAGATTATAACAAACCAATAAACACGCCAAATCTTCTATTCCTTATTTCGAAACGTGGTGACCCAATATTACAAACATACCCAATGTAATGAATTCAACAACAAATTTCAATTCACCTAGGAAATATCCACCTTTGACAACAAAAAAAGAAAGGTCAGTACTAGTCAGCTCTGTGAATGTTTTAAATTTTTTTTATTAGAATTTACTCATCTTAGTAAGCATTCTTTTGACTTCTTTTATGATTCGTGTCCGCATATTTAACCGGTGGTCGTGGATTAATAGAAGTTTCAAAAAATGATAACTTCTACTTGATCGAATCACGACATACCAGAAATTTGTACGTTATTTGATCTGGTTCATTGTTTTTAAAATAAATAAGAAATTGGTTAATGACTAGTCATTAAGTAGTAAGATTTTCATAGCCTAACAAAAAGTTTTTTTTCAAAAATAAAAATCATAACTGATTCTTCCTACAGAATCCGTAGGTTTTATAAAAACTTCATTAAAATTACTTTTGTGTCCTAAGAATGAACAACCCTTACTAAATTCTTTTCAGTATTTAGCTCAGGCAGTCGAACCTAGCATCGCGCAAAAGCAATTTTAAAGGTTGACTACTAATAATCAAAACTTACTTTAAATATCCTTTTTTCCAATATCTTTCGATATTTTCGCTTCGATATCTTCCTCTTCAAAATCTTTAATGTCTTCTTGTGCATGCCAATGATCAAATTTCTGAAACTCGTAAAGGTTTATTTATTAACTCAAAATTTAAAAAAAAAGGTTTGTCAAAACAATGTCATGCGTGTCGATCACACCAAATATAATAGTCAATCAAAAATCATATGATTTTCGTATTATGTTTGATTGGCTCATGTGCAAAAAACCCATTCCTAATAAAATAAAACAATTCATGATTCGTTATACATTTTAAACCACTTTTTCACGAGGCTCGTGTAAGCCTTTGTCTCTATGAAACATGAGCAAGCTTACTAAGTGAACTTGAAGTTTTCGTACTGTATTTTAACAATATCGGTTGAATTCCTTTGAAACCACAAATTTTATATGACCGTTTCTTTACAAAGTGTATGTAGAAGTAAGTAATTACAAAATACCAAACTACAAATTTTGAACATTTGGGTGATAAAAATCAAAGAAAAGTTGAAACAACGATTAAACAAACGTAATGTGCGTTAGACTGTTAGTTTTCACGATGTTTTATTTAAATCTTCATAAATAATCTTTTAAAAGTTCAAAGCAAATTTATATACAAATTACTTAATAAAATATGAACTAACTACATAAATTTTTTTTGTACATTTCTTAAAATAGAAATAAGAATGCATACGTATAAAACTATTACAATAGTATAAGTGTTGTGTATTAGAGACCATGTAATGTTGAATTTTAAAGACTATGTAAGATGTGCATATACATTGGGTTTTGGATATAGAATTAGACGTTGATTATTGATTGGGTTTTCTATATATTGTAATGATTTGGGGTTTGTTTATTATTTAATTAATAAACGAAATAAAGATACATTTCTTACTTGGTGGCATAATATGCAATTAAATTCGTTTATAGCTTCGTTTGTATTTTTTTATTCTTTTAAAACTTATGATTTAATTGGCTAATTATTATGTGAAAATACATGACATTTGTTTGGACATCGGTCCAATCTTGATGAGTACTGTTCCTGATAGGGATTTAAAACGAACCCCAACCTTAGCTTTTTTTATATACTTCACTATAGTTGCATAGTATTTTTGAGGTCTCTTTTTTTAGAACCCTATGTAAATTAATATTAGTTTATTACCTTATCACACTATCAGGAACAGTACCGATGATACATTAGGAACGGTATTTTTGAGTTCATTTAAATCAATTGCCCATGTAACTTATTTATACACTTCAAAGTACGTACTATTGTGCATTACGGCGTATTTGCAAATTACCCCAAAATTTAAAAAATCTGACCAGTGAAAAATATCTGAGAAATTTTTTTTGTATTTTGAGAACATTAACTGATAATTTTATGTTCTCAAAACATTTTTAATGTTCTTGCTAAAAAAAAAAACAAAAAAAAACAGTAATTATAATATTTTAATATGTATATTATGAGAACATAAATTAAAAATTTTATGTTCTCAGATTGTTCTCAAAAGAGAACATAAATTTTAGATGCAATGTTCTTAAATTTTTTTAAAGGTTCTTAAGAACATTAAGAACATTAGATATTAAACACTGAATCTGACTACTAATATGTGAATATAGATTTTGACTGAGATAATCAACATTCTCCAAGTTATGATGTGTCATTTTAATAAATCCAATGAAGAAAGTTTCGAACATCATGTGACAAAATATTGAGTATTAAAATTCATGTAACAAAAAAATATACCCCAAAAAATATAACTTGAGCAGAAAAATAAAAATGCTCAAATCGATGCAAAAAAGTAAAGAAAAAATAACAAAATTTCTCAATATAGATCTACTTAAATATAGCAAGACACGTGAATCGGATACTGTGACTTCTGCAGCATTATTTTAGGTTTGCTCATAGTGGAAAACAATAATAAGAGACCAAGTATTTAAACAATATACATTCTATATTGTAGTTATAGATAGCATAGGGTAAATAAATTAGATGCCAATGACGACCTGTGGTGATTAAGGATGGCTCTGAAAGTAGATACAGTAGCCAACAAAAGTAGCACCCAATGATCAATTTTATAGTAAAACATATAAAAAATTGATCATAAAAGTCAATATTCTTTTTATTTTAAAATTAAAGTTTAATTTAATTGGTAAATTCAATGTTTATATTCTATAATATGTGAGTTTTATTAAGTCAAACAAATTGAAATTTATTTTTTTTTAAATTATAAAATTTATGATTAAAAATTTCATATGTAAAACATATAAAATTTGTAAATTTGACTTTAAAATTAAATATAAAATTTAAAAAAATTTTTAAAAAAAATTTAACTAAAATTATTAAAATAATATTATTATATTTTAAAGGTAACATAAAATAAAAAAATTATTTTATCCATTAGTCAAATATACTATCAATAAAATTCTGAATCACAAGTACTTAGCTTAATATTTAAAAAAAAAATTATTTATAAAAAAATATAAGTTTTAATATAATATAAAACTTATAATTAAATTTTACAAAATTTACATAGTAAAAATATAATAAAAACTTGAAATTTTAAAATTGTTAAAAATCTAAGTTTTAATAATAAAAATATTTTGTAATTTATACAATTAAAAAATTTGATATTATATTTTATAATTAATAATTTTCACTGAATCAAAGAAATTATTATTTTATTTTTTTAATAACAAGATTTTTTAAAAAGGATTTTATATTTAATTTACTATAAAATTGCTTATTAAACATTAGTTTTGTTAGATACTATATTTTTAATACCTATTCAAATTAAAGTTTATTTACAAACAGGATTTAGTTTACCAAAATGTTAAAAGTTAAAAGTCTTACTAAAAGTTAAAAGACCTATTGAAAATTAAAAGTTTTACTGAAAGTTTAAGTCTTATCAAAAATTGAAATTTAAAATCCTTACTAAAAGTTAAGATTAATCATATTTTGATATAGACACTTTTTTGAATTTAAAAATCATATGATTTCTGTACTTAAAATTGATTAATAGAATTTTTAAAAATTCTATCGATTAATTTTAAGTGTAAAGATCATATAACTTTTTTAATTTCAAAAAATTATTTATGTCAAAATATAATTAGCCTTGCTTTCAATAAGAGTTTCAACTTTTGATAAGAGTTTTAATTTTTGGTAAGAATTTAACTTTTAGTAAAACTTTTAATTTTCAATAAGATTTTTAACTTTTAGTAGATTTTTAACTTTTGGTAAGATTTTTGATTTTTAGTAAGACTTTTGACTTTCAGTAAAACTTTTGAGTTTTAGTAAAACTTTTAGTAAGATTTTTGATTTTTAATAAAAGTTTTGATTTTTAATAAGAATTTTGATTTTTGGTAAAATTTTTAATTTTTTAGTAGGACTTTTGACTTTTAATAAGATTTTTAACTTTAGTAGACTTTTGACTTTTAGTATAACTTTTGATATAACTTTTAGCATACCAAAATACTTAGGTCATTCTTAGTAATAATATTATTAAAGGTTTTAAAATATAAATATATATATATAGAGTGTGGGTCCCATAGCTTAGCGGTTAAGCTCCCATGCCCCCACAGTCAAGGTCAACAGTTCAAGTCTGGCTAGAGAC